TGCGGCTCCTCCCGGTGCCAGGCTGGTGGGGGTGTGCAGCACCCAAATGCCAGGCTCGATGGGGTTTGTGCAGCATCCAAATGCCAGGCTGGTTGGGGGTGTGCTGCTCCCAAATGCCAGGCTAGATGAGGGGTGTGCTGCACCCAAAAGCCAGGCTGGATGGGGGTTGTGCTGGTCCCAAACCCAAATGCCAGGCTGGATGAGGGGTGTGCTGCGCCCAAATGCCAGGCTGGATGAGGGGTGTGCTGCGCCCAAATGCCAGGCTGGATGAGGGGTGTGCTGCGCCCAAATGCCAGGCTGGATGAGGGGTGTGCTGCGCCCAAATGCCAGGCTGGATGAGGGGTGTGCTGCGCCCAAATGCCAGGCTGGATGAGGGGTGTGCTGCGCCCAAATGCCAGGCTGGATGAGGGGTGTGCTGCGCCCAAATGCCAGGCTGGATGAGGGGTGTGCTGCGCCCAAATGCCAGGCTGGATGAGGGGTGTGCTGCGCCCAAATGCCAGGCTGGATGAGGGGTGTGCTGCGCCCAAATGCCAGGCTGGATGAGGGGTGTGCTGCGCCCAAATGCCAGGCTGGATGAGGGGTGTGCTGCGCCCAAATGCCAGGCTGGATGAGGGGTGTGCTGCGCCCAAATGCCAGGCTGGATGAGGGGTGTGCTGCGCCCAAATGCCAGGCTGGATGAGGGGTGTGCTGCGCCCAAATGCCAGGCTGGATGAGGGGTGTGCTGCGCCCAAATGCCAGGCTGGATGAGGGGTGTGCTGCGCCCAAATGCCAGGCTGGATGAGGGGTGTGCTGCGCCCAAATGCCAGGCTGGATGAGGGGTGTGCTGCGCCCAAATGCCAGGCTGGATGAGGGGTGTGCTGCGCCCAAATGCCAGGCTGGATGAGGGGTGTGCTGCGCCCAAATGCCAGGCTGGATGAGGGGTGTGCTGCGCCCAAATGCCAGGCTGGATGAGGGGTGTGCTGCGCCCAAATGCCAGGCTGGATGAGGGGTGTGCTGCGCCCAAATGCCAGGCTGGATGAGGGGTGTGCTGCGCCCAAATGCCAGGCTGGATGTGGCTTGTGCTGCACCCAAATGCCAGGCTGGATGGGGTTTGTGCTGTGCCCCACTGCCAGGCTGGATGGGGTTTGTGCTGTTCCCAAATGCCAGGCTGGATGGGGTTTGTGCTGCACCCAAATGCCAGGCTGGATGAGGGTTGTGCTGTGCCCCACTGCCAGGTTCAATGGGGTTTGTGCTGCACCCTGCTGCCAGGCTGGATTGGGGTTGTGTTGCACCCAAATGCCAGGCTGGTTGGGGTTTGTGCTGCACCCCACTGCCAGACTGGATGGGGTTTGTACTGCACCCTGCTGCCAGGCTCTAGAGCAGTGGGTCTCATCTCAGCCCAGGGGCAGGCACTCACAAGTGTGTGGCAAGAAGAGATGCAAGGGTCCTGAGCACACTTTCTCCTTTCAAGGAGAAAAAAGGTGTGCACCCGCTTTTGCAGGTGGGCAGTTTCAGTCCCCCCTGCCCCACACGCTGGGATTGAGGGGCACTGGCCATTGATGCTTACAGATGGGTCTTGGTACACCAGCGGGGGAGAGCCACTGCTCTGGAGGGTCCTGCTGTTGGATGCTATAGGGCTCTGCTAAAGCCAAGACCCACCAGGGCATAAAAGGATTGCTGTTGGCCCCTCTTGCTGTGGCTTTAATGGCTATACCACCCTGGGGCTGCTATAGGCACCTCATGCCAGTGCTGCTGTAGGGGTGTGCAGAGCCCTGGGATACCACTGGGTCCTTCCAGGACTGCTCAAGAGAGGCCAACGTGGAGGGCAATGGACCAAGCCTCTGTTGCTCCACTCGGCCGAGGCTGAGAGCTGCTGAGATCCCACCCCAAGCTGAAAACCTGCCCCTGATGCCCAGCTCCAGTAGTCGTCTTGAGTCACAACCACCCTCATTATGGGAGTACGAGGGCAAGCACTTGAACTCCATGCCAGTCAGTGTTTGGATACAGAGGGGGAATGACTGGCTGGGCTGTAGGACTGCAGAGAAGGAGCTGAGGGGTCCAGTGGCCCATTAGCTGACCACACGAGCCAACAGCGTGCTCTTGTGGCAAATATGCCAATCATAGCGAGAGCCAGATTTGCACCTGGTGTAAATCAGCACAGTTCGACTGATGCCAATAGACAGCAGCAGAGCACTGGGTCCGACGGCTTTAGCCTGAATGAAATGCAAGAGTGCCTTTTTTTTTTTTAACATAGCCTCATTTTTAACACTAGATGGTGGTAGCTTCCTGAATCTCAGAGCCAGGGAGATGCCGTTGCTACCGCTGGGCTGCAGCCAGAAAGCGGTTGCTGTTAGGAAGCCAGTGCTGCTGGGATTGCTATCCAGCTTTAGCATCTGAAGAACAGCATGAAATCAATAGTGGTGAACAGCTACTCTTGCTAAGCGGGGGGGAAGGACATGGTCAAAGGAGCTTTTTCAAATTTCCCTTGGCAGGTTCTGGCAAAGGCAAGTTTCTGTGTAAAGCAAGAATGAGCTGTAGACATGTCTTGGCACATCACCTGAAATCACTCCCGCAGTAGCCTCTGGGAATGCAGGGTTAGGAGAGGAGAGGACTTTAGCAAGGACATCCAGGTGACTGTGTTCAGTGGCCTGACGAGGAGCTGATTTCTATAGCCAGAGGATGGTGGCACGTGAACTTTGCACTCACACTTCAAGTGTGATGACACAATGAGGAAAGGCAGGAAGGGACGTGGAAGTGGGCAGATTCATGCAAGGTTCTTGGAAAAGGAAGGGACAAGTCCAAGGGGGATGTTAAAAACCCAAAGCAAGCAAGTTTACACTGAGTCCTGTGCTGGGTGAGAGCAAACTTGGGTTGGTAGCAAAGTGCAAATCAGAATAGTTCAAGCCTGGATGCCTGTTAACTTGGGTGTCACCTGCCCACACGCTGGTGGAAAGGAGGAGTGGGCACATGACACGCACTGATGTAATTTTCTAAGCTGGTGGACTGTAATCCCTAGAAAAATCCAGGGCAAAACTGCACCTGTATAAACTGCTGTAGGTATCATGTGTCCCCTTCTACCCCAGGGTTGCTATTAGTTTAATATACATAAATTATCATTGGCTCCTCACCTCTTAGTCGAGGGGCACTATATTAACATATATAGTGTCAGCTATACCTGAGGAGATGTGGCCATCTCTCTACTATGGACACCTGTATATCTTACACTGGTGTACAAGCCCACCTTGGTGGTGACATGTTCTGTGTCCAGGCCTTTTGCTGAATTAAAATAGCCCCTAAAAGCCTCCATTTTGTCAGGCCCCGTACACACAGAAATGAAGGAACTTACAATTTAAATAGACACGAGAAAGAGCGAGAGGGGAAACTGAGGCACGGAAAAGGGAAGGGACTCGCAAAGGCCATGCAGCAAGTTCAAGGAACAAAATTCTCCAGTCTCAAGCTAGCGGCTTATTTTTGGGGCTGCCCTGATTTTAAAACAGTTGTCGAAGACTTTGCCGAACTTCATTTTAACGGCAGGCGGCTGCTTGAACTCTCTGCTGCTTTGTTTCCTGTTTTGCCGCTGCGCTGAGGTTTCGCTATTACCATAAGCACCAAGGGGAAATTCCCCGCACCAAAAAGCTCGAACACTGAATTTTTTCAGTTCAAAGTCACAAGCCCAAATGACACGCAAGAGCAGAGCGACATCAGAGAGACAGAGACACAGCAAGAGTAAGTTTTCTCTGAAACTGCGGTAGCAGTGTTCAGTCCTCGGATCTCGGCTGTACGATGTGCTCAGCTCTAGGTAGCAAGTCCAGGCTCAGGTTTTTCTCTGAGTTACCCTCCTGGTTGGGTTAAATTGCAAAGATCACAGTAATGTGATTGAGGATAAAATTTGCCTCATTGTCTTCAAAGCCTGAGAGTAAAGGTTAGATCAGAGTGAATTGCTCCCTAAAAATACAGAGCTCATAAATATTTTGCTGTCATTGGATCATTACTGTAATTTTAAAGGAAGGAATAATTTTCAGGTTGCACATTCAATTCAAATTCCTAAATACCAAGCCTTCCTCGTTCACTATAGTAATCATGAGAAATGAAGCGACCGTTTACTATTAAAAGCAGCTGTTTGCTGATCATCTGGCTGGGGTATTATGATCCCAGCACTTGTTTCTACCCAGGGCAGGGTGTCGGACTTGATAATCTGGGGTCCCTTCCGACCCTAGAAACTATGAAATCAATGCAATGGACGCGTACCCAACAACCCAAGTCGCACCCTTTTAAAATAATTCACTGGCATAGTCATGCATAAAATGTGCATTTGGGATTATTAACTTGACGTGACCTGATGTTTGGTTATCAAGAGTTATTCTTACAATGACTCATTTGTAGTTCAGTAGATCAGATGTTGCTTTATGCGGCTAAGGCACAATTCAAAATGCACCGAAGTCTTGCGTTACGTATTCGTGCAATGTCTGGCACAATGTGGTCATAGGGTAGTTTCTAGGTACCGGTGGAGTACAAATGAACAAAGTATGATATTATAGGATCCGAGGAGAGTAGGGCTAGAAGGGGCCTCCCAAGGTCATCTAATCCAGCGCCCTGCTCGAGACAGGATCATGCCTGAGTAAACCATCCCAATCAAGTCTCTCTCTAGCCTGCTCTTGAAAACTTCCAGGGATGGAGACTCCACAGCTTCTCTATTTCCAATGCTTGATCGCCCTCAGAGTCAGAAAGGTCCTTCTCATGTCCGACCTAAATTTCCTCTGATGCAGTTTGAGCCATTGCTACTAGTCCTGTCCCCTACGGCCACAGAGAAAAGCCCATCTCCATCCTCCCTATAAATGCCCTTCAGGTATCTGAAGATTGTTAGTTATGATTATAGGCAAATGAAAAAGCTCCTATTGAATTCACTGGACACTGGATAAGGCCCGATTGCTTATTTTTATTTAAAAAATCACTGAAAACATAAAATAGCTTGAGCACATTCTGCTAAACCTAAAGAAATTGTAAGAAAACAGCAGAATAATTTGATCAAATGATCTTTCTGGCCTTGTTCACAGTGTAACACATACAAAACCATCTGGCAACAATTTACTTTACCTTTTTGTCAAATGTTTTCTTTGTGCTGTGTGCACTTCCTCATATTTGCTAATGAGTTCTGCAGTCGCCCGTACATAAGGATCCCCAGCTTACTAAAAGCAAAGGATGTTCATCAGGCCGATTAGCAGAGCCTCTAAAGATGAAACTGAGAACTTAAACTTTCAGCAGCTTGGCACTGATAAACTGGAAACTGTGACGGAAAGCAAAGTTGATTTGCATAGTTGGGCTAATGGAGCCACACCACTAGCCTTTCAAATGAAATTTGAATTTTGTGGGTAGATTTATGTTAAAAATGGGGGGTTTTTATTTTTCTCCCCCAAATGGTAATAATTCCTGCAAAGTCAAATCCTCCTCAGTACTGTTACAGTGGGAAGATATATGCTGAATACACTACATAGACATTTTCCTTAGTGGTAGAGATATTTTGGTATGGCAATGGTGCTCTATCTTTTGGCCCCATGGGCTAGATGAATGACATGGGGACAGACCATGGACTGGACTGGGCCCTGTGCTGCCTCCGCCTAGCCCTGTGCACCGGGATCAGGCCTCCTGCTGCCAAACTTTTCCCATAGTCCAGACTACACAGCTCTATGGGCTGGATCTGGCCTATGGGCCAGGGGTTGAGCACCCCTGAGTTAGGGCATAATCACCTGGGCCATGAACTGGATTTCCACTTGAGGGCTATTGTAGGGGAAGTTTAGCATAGGCACAGTGGTTAGCTCAGGGTCCAGCTCCCACTGAAAGCTCACTGGGAATGGGAGCTATGCATCTGGATCTGATCTTCCCCCGACCTTAAGTCTGCTTCCATGGAGTCGCTTCGCCTCTGTGCCATTGCACAGAGTGTGTTCTTGTGGGTAGGATGAAGTTTAGTACTGATGGTGGGACTATTTCAAAGACCTAGGGCATGATCACCTTTAACAAAAGCCTTCGATTACCTGGGAGGGGGCCAAAGAGGATGGAGCTGGACTGTTCTCAGTGGGGGGCAGATGGCAGGACAAGGAGCAATGGGCTCACCTTGCAGTAAGGGAAGTTGAGGTTAGATATTAGGAAAAAAAACCCTTTCTTACTAGGAGGGTGGTGAAGCACTGGAACAGGTTACCCAGGGAGGTGGTGGCATCTCCATCCTTGCAGGTCCCACAACTTCATGAAGATCATTGCCAAGGGCTCCGAGATCTCCTCTGCCAGTTCCTTCAGGACCTTGGGATGAACTTCATCCAGTCTTGCTGACTTGAATTCATTCAGACCCAACAAAATCTCCATCCTTTTTAAAACCTGGCTAGACAAAGCTCTGGCTGGGCTGATCTAGTTGGGGCTGGTCCTGCTTGGAGCAGGGGGTTTGACTGAATCAGTGTTTGCCAACCAGCGTGCTGTGGCACAGTGGCGTGCCGTCAGAAATGAGCAGGTGTGCCGCTGAATTTTGCTACAGCAATGAGCTACAACGAGCTTATGGGTATGAGGATGGGGGATGCCTTAACAGGTGTGCCATGGAAAATTTTTATTAATGTAAGTATGCCTTGGGGCTGGAAAAGCTTGGGAAACACTGGACTAGATGATGTCCCGAGGTCCCTTCCAACCCTCATTTCCTATGATTCTATGGTTGTGTCCCCATTCAAGTCAATGGGAAACATTGGTTAGCCATGTTGAATCTTCTGTAAATGTAATTGCACGATCCTTAATTGCTGTAGGAACTAGGGGCCAGGCTGCTGGACTGAGAAGCTGGTGGTCTGAGTTCTGGTCCCCTGCCTACCCTGTGACCCAGACCCTCTTCCTTTCCCCGTCCCAGCCGATTGCCACTTTGATCCCTTTCCCCTGCCCAACCTGATGTTCAGCTTTCTATTCTCTACTGGCTTCTTGGTTCTGTTTCTGCTTTAGTAATATTTATGGCTCAATGAACTGATGGAAATTAATTGTACTGTCATTTCCTCCTTCCATCCCTCCCTCCCGATAGCCAGGCACTGAAGAAATGGAAGAAGCTTTTTTCCAGCTTGGCCAAGAATTGGCCAGGCTTCAGCATTTATGTGCAAAGCAGAGTGAGCTGCTACAGAAGCTGATTCCAGGGACGGACCCACTCATTGGTAAGGAACAGAGTAAACTCAAATCAAGGAATATTTTTCCGGTCAAAAGCTTATTTACAGGAAATGCAGATTTGGTTAAACCAAATTAATTTGTGAATTCATGCCAAATTTAGCCAGTTAGTCTGGCTGGAAAATAAAACAGAAAAAAAGTTGAAGTGTTCTTGATTCAGTGTTCAGAGAGTGAAATGCAGCCATTTTTCCTTACAAAATGATGTCCCTGTACTTAAAAAAGAGAAAAAAAAGTGACCAGCCTCCCAAGAGATGAAACAAAAGTGTTTTGTTTTGGGCAGGAAAAAATGATCATGATTTATTTTTGTGTGTTTTTGCTTGGAGAACACCCTGAAAATCCTCATTTTGAGTTGACCTTAAAGGAAAGATTTTTTTTTTTTCTTTCCAATTTTCAGTTCAAGCAACACACAGAAAAATCAATTATTCCCACGTCGCTACTGCTAACTCAGTTTCTGCTTGCATCAGATGCAGTTTCTGGCATCTAGAGGAGATGTAACACACAATCACACATGAATTTACATACATTTGAATTAGATTCTCCCTGTAGCTGGCAGGAGGCTACCCGCTGTGTTGGAACAGCTGTTTTTTCTGGCTTATGAGGGAAATGAACAGCACCCATAAATCATGAGAGAGGGGTTGAATACTAAACAGGTAGTCCAGGTGAGAGCTTGGCTTTGGTCACAGCTGGAATCTGCTGAAAACTCATGCATCAGATGCAACTCATTGATGACCCCAAAAGTCGGGAAAATCAATGCTAGATCTGAGTAGCCAGGTCTGCTATCCAGGATTGGGCAGTTGCAGCCCCCTGAGCCCGGAAAGGGGCAAATGGCAATCCTATGCCAAAGCATAGAGCACTTACCACGACTGGAAACAGCTCTTCCTTTTCCTTTTCTGCTTAACAGCTGTCTCTTGAGATGAGAAAGAAGCCATTTCTGCTGTACGGTTGATGCACAACCACCAGGGCACATTGATTAAAAGGAGAACAATGTGGTTGCAGGGAGTTTGCAGGTAAATTGCAAGAGGTCCTTTCAGTCCCGTGAGTAACCTCCCCCACTGATTTCTGTTAAAGATCTGCCCACTTCGATGCCAATCCAATGCACCGAAGATACGGTCGGAGAGGAAGTGGAAAGACCCAACTTCAGACAGCCAGGAGCAAAGCCCTCCTCTGCCATTGTGGCCTGCCCAACAGCTCCTAGACTGCATGACTCTGCTATTCTCCAGAACCAGCCCCAAGACGCAGACATGCTGTCTGCTTTGGCTGTGAAGTACCCACTGAGTGCAGAAAACGACAGTTTATTAAGCAGTGGGAATAAGAAGCTGGATTTTGCAAGAGCCCTTCGCAGCCAGTCCTGTGACATGCCAGATATGGGCAAGAAGGCAAATTTTGATGCACAGTTGAACGATGATATGGCATTTCCTGCCTTTAACGTTAGCAAGAGAGACTCCCTAGCTAGTTCTGCCCCTCAAGAGTTTGCTGTTCAAAATCCAGCGTGTGTAGACTCTCTTTTCCACTCTTTGGATCTTTATGAAGATCCCCAGGAGCTACCGACAGAATATGCTCCCAGGCAGAGCGCTCTGCCTACAGAGATTAACGTTCCTGTAGAAATACGAGGACCTGTAAAGGTAAAGCAGATGGGGGCAGATCTGTGTATGGCATTTCTATTGCACACTTTACTAAACACTTTACTAAGCCACATAAGAAGCAGCACAGAAGCAGAAAGGGATCTCAGAGTTATAGTGGACACCAAGATGAACATGAGTCATCAGTGGGACAAAATCATCAGCAAATCTAACTGCACATTATCATGCATTAGCAGATGCATGACAAATAGATCCAAGGAGGTGATATTTCCCCTCTATGCGGCATTGGTCAGACCGCAGTTGGAGTACTGCATCCAGTTTTGGGCGCCGTACTTTAAGAAGGATGTGGATAACCTTGAGAGGGTCCAGAGGGCCACTTGTATGGCTAAGGGTTTACAGGGCAAGCCCTAAGAGGAGAGACTAAGGGACCTGGATCTCTGCAGCCTCTGCAAGAGAAGGCTGAGAGGTGATCTTGTGGCTGCCTATATATTCATTAGGGGGATGCAGCAAGGGATCAGAGATGCTCTGTTCACCAGGGCATCTCTTGGGGTAACAAGGAGCAATGGTCACATTGCACAGTCTTAAAAGCAAATTACCATATTTACTTGATTCTAAGACAAGTTTCCCCCCCACACATTTAATGTGGAGGAAAATGCCCCTCAACTTAGAATTGAGTATGAAGGTGGGGGGTGGACAAGCGTCTGTGCCTGCCCCCTGCACTGCCTCTGCACCATCTCCCCTCTGCAGCCTCTTCCCCTCCCCCCCATTCAGCCCCTCTCCCCACCCTGCACCTTTGCTGCATTGCTTTGCACTGGTATTGCTTTGCACTGGCAGGCTCTGTGCATGCTGCACCCTGGGGCACTGAATGTGGCCTCAGCCTGGCCCCGTAGCAGCAGCACAAAGCATTGCACAGCCTGGGGAAGAGGGAGAAAAGTGGGGGGGACCGAGGCTGTTGGGGAGGGGGACCCAAGGCTGCAGGGAGGGGCAGGCAGGGGGCAGAGGTGGCAGGGGAGCAGGCACAAGTAGGGGACAAACTGCTTGATCTCCCCACCTGCCCCTATTCAGTGGTGGTGGGTGGGGGGGATGAATTAAAGTTGACCCTCCAATAATTAAATTCTATACATGAAAAATGATAGCAAATGTATACATTTTCCATGTATAAAATCAAATTATTGGGGCTTCATCTTAAAGCCAGGGTCATCTTCGATTTGAGTAAGTATGGGGTATGCACGTCTGCTCATTCATGATGGAGCCACATAAGAACATAAAAACTGCCGTCTACTAGGTTGGACCGTGGATCCATTTTGCCCAAGCTCCTGTGTCACATCGTGGCAGAGAGCAAATGCTGAAAGGGAGAGTGGACTGGGTCTGACCAGGGTTATTCCCCTGTTCCTCTCTCACTTGCAGCCTCCAGCATTTAAGGTCAAGGCAGATCTGATTCAGAGGCTGGATCCCACACTCCCATGCTCCACAGCTACCGATGCCCCTTTCCTCCAAGCATGTGTACTGTCCAATCCATTTTTTGAATGTGGTTAAACTGTCAGCTTCCACCACATCTGGTGGCAACAAGTCCCACACTTCAATTATACGCCGTGTGAAAAAGCACGTCCTTTTGTTAGTTTTAAACTTACTGCCTACTGGCTTCATTTTGTGATCCCTAGTTCTTGTCTGGTGAGAGTGAGTCAGTAATAAATCCCTACTGACTTGCTCTTTGCCGGTTAATATTTTGTAAACCCTTATCACGTCTCTCCTAAAAGCATCTCTTTTCTAAAGTGAACAGGCCTGGCCTCTTTACTCTCTCATCCTATGGAAGCCCCTCCATGCCACTCATCATCCTTAGTGCCCTTCTCTGGACTTTCTCTAGGTCTTCTGTATCCTTTTTGAGTTGCAGGGACCAGAACTGGGCAGACGATTCAAGGTGTGGACGCCCCGTGGATTTACAAAGGGGCATGACGATACTTTCCATTTTGCTCACAATTCTATTCTCAATAAGCCCTAACTTGTTGCCTTTTGGATGGCTGCTGAGCACCGAGCTGATGTTTTTAGCGAACTGTCCACAATGACTCCCAGATCTCTTTCCTGGGTGGTAACAGCTAATGTAGAGTACATTATAGTATAGGTAGAGTTGGGGTTATTTTTGCCTAGGTACATCACTTTACACTTGTCTCCATTGAATTGCTTCTGCCATTTATTGGCTCAGTCATGCCAGATCCTTCTGTAGATGCTCACAGTCTGCTGTGGTCTTTACCACCTGGAATCATTTTGGGTCATTAGCAAATTTGGCCACCTCACTACTCACCCCATTGTCTAGATCATTTATGAATATGGAAAACCGGTCCCAAAATAGATCCCTGGGGGACCCTGCTGTTTACTTCTTCCCATAAACTGACCATTTAGACTCACTCTTTGCTTTCTATCTTGAAGCCAATTCCTCATCTGTGAGTGGATGTTCCCTGTAATCCCGTGACTCCCTAATTTAGCTAAGAGCCTCTTATGGGGGACCTTGTCAAAGGCTTTTGGGAGGTCCAAATATACTATGTCAACTGGATCATCCCAACTCACCCACTTATTGACACCCTCAGAGCACTCTAGTAGGTTTGTGAGGCATGATTTCCCTTTGACAAAGCCATGCTGATTCCTCTCCAGCAAGTCATGTTCATCCATGTGCTGAGCAAGTCTTTTTTTATTATTATTGTTTCTGCCAGTTTTCTAGGAGCAGAAGTGAGGCTCTCTTGCTTGTAGTTTCCTGCATCCCCTCTAGAGCCTTTTAAAAATGTTGGAGTCACATTGGCAACCCTCCAGAACTAAGGCTGGTTTTAGTGGTAGGTAGGTACAGTTTTAGTGATGCACTACAATTAGGAGTTCAGCAATTTCCTATCTGAGCTCCTTCAGGACCCTAGGGTGAATGCCATCAGGTCCTGGCGATTTGATACCGTTTAGCTGATCAATAAATAAACCTCCTGTAGACATATTTAATATGTATGTATGTGCAGTACAACCTCATGTATTGAAACCTCCATTTGGCTCCACTGACTTGTCCCTAGAGAGGAGTGGATCTGGTGATGAAATTTCCCTAACATCGTCCACAGCGAAGACAGATGCAAAGAATGCATTTAGTTTCTCAGAAATGGCCCTGTCATCCTTTAGTCCTTCTTTCATACCCTGATCATCCAAAGGCCCAACTGACTCCCTGGCAGGCCTTTGGCTGCGAATGTATGCATGGCTTACCTGTTTGCACTTCATTCAGGCTTGCTGCACAATGAGGTGGGCTCAGGCTGTGTGCACCTCATTAAGGCTTGCAACTTTGTTACAGCATCACAGGCAGGAACTTAATTAAGCCTTGATCTGTGAAGCCACTTACCCCTGGGTCTGTGTGGTACAGCACAGTCTGCAGCACAACACATGGCTGTGAAAACTAAAAAACATTCAGATCTTGGGCTTGCAGGATTAGCCAAGTACCGTGCATGTCTGGCAACTTCCGGCCACCAGACAAGCCCAGTGCATCCATCTGTATCAGCAAATCTCATCGGATCATAGGAACGTAAGACTGGAAAGGACCTCACAAGTTCATTTAGTGCAGTGGTAGGCAATTATTTTGGGCAGAGGGCTGCTTACTGAGTTTCGGCAAGCCATTGAGGGCCGCATGACAGGCAGCTCAGGGCAGATTAATATTAATTTTCTAAACTTTTTAGGGCTGGATAGAATGGCCTGGCGGACCACATCTGGCCCCCGGGCCGCATTTTGCCCACCCTTGATCTAGGGCATCTCAGTAACTTTATTGTGCCCCACTGTGTTAGGAAGTTGCTATCATCTCCATTTTGCAGATGGGAAATTGAGGCGCAGGGAAGCTGGGGCCTGGGTCCTCATAGGTATTCATTCTAGTGTGAGCGAGGTGCCTAGGAGCCTTTGTGGATTTGGGGTTAAATGACTCACTCAAGGTCACACAGGAAAGCAGTGGCAGAGCAGGGGTTTGACCAAGGATATGTTAAGTCCCAGAGCAGGCACCACCAGATTATCCTTTCTCTGTGATAAATTATGGGATTTGCCATGTGCGACCGAGCCATGAGTTAGCAGTTTTAGTCCTGGATTTCCAAAAGGGGGTAACTATGGATTCCTCCCTGCAGAGTAAAACCCACACACTGTCCCTAGCTAGTTGTGCAACACATAAGGAGGAAAATTCCTTCCCGGCCCCCCATGGCAATCATTTAATGTCCCGAAACATGAAACTTAATTAAACTTGTTCTAGTGCATCGCTACAATATTGCCTTTGGTCCTGAAATAAACCCAGCCCTTTTATAATACAGCTCATTTGCAGGCATCTCCTGGTGGCTATAATCACCTTCATCACCCTTTCTGGACCATTGTAATTCTAGCTCCTGCTCTCTGCCCTCTCCAAATAATCTCTCATCATCTTGGCACCAACTATGAATATTGCATGCTGCCATGGGCTTCTCTCTTTCTGAGGAATAAGCAGGTCCTACAGCTCTGTGTTGTGTATAACTAAACCATCCATAATCCACTAATGGGGCTTTACCTCTTGCCTTGTGCTGGTAGTTTTCCCTTCACAGGCTTTTTAGAAAGGATCTTACCCCAAAGCCACATCTGAGTAATGAATTTTGTCTATCCGGGCTCCTTCATGATCAGTACTCAGAAGCTGCTGTACTGGGAAGTATTTAACGCTTTTGCTTTTCGGAGCTCTAAAATCTCACAGGCAGCATTTTCTGTTAAAGCCAGTTGTGAGCAAACCGGCGGATCAGGGGAGGTGACACTTGCCTGCATATGATTTTCATGTGAAATTTTTAAGAGTAACTAAAAGAAGTATTCAGGAAATAAGGACTGATTTCTGTAAGTCCCTTTAAGACTCCTCAGCAGTAATTACTTTACTCATTCACCTCCCACACTTGCCTTTTCCCCCAAAAAGGAGGGGACAGCACAGCAGAGAATGAAGCCCCAGGGCCATGAAGTCCACAGTTCCCCAAACAACATGCTAGGCATTATTGGGTGCATCTACACACACCAATTTAAGGCATTTTAGCCTGATTTAAGGTGCATTAAGGGCATGTGCGCACCTTTAATGTGCCTTAAACATGGTGATTTTAAGCTATTTGGGCATTTATACACATACATTTTCAGGTCCAGATCTCCTGCTCTATTAATTGAGTCTGTTCCACATGGAAGCTGATGTGCGCGGCGCTGCATTGCTTGCAGTTGTATAGGAAGCTGACGTGCGCGGCGCTGCATTGCTTGCAGTTGTATAAGCGGCAAAATGCATCAGCATGCTGAAAATGGTGGCAGCGCGCTTTTGAACTAAAACACCTCCTATGTATTTTAGTTCAAAAGTGGCCTGCTGCCATTTTCTGCATGCTGACGGACATTTCGCCGCTTATACAACTGCATGTGACGCAGCACCGGGCACTTTCCAAAGCACCCGGTGCTGTGGCATTTGCATGTGTAAAAATGCCCTTTGCACCTAAATTTGATACCTGCAACCGCAAATAGCTAAAGTGCCTTAATGCACTTGTAGACATGCTAAGGCACATTAATGCTGTGTATGTCAACTGACTTGGGACTAACTTCAGTCCCAAGTGGGTCCGCCTTAGTGTGTGCATGTGTAGATGTGCACCTAAATCGCCTTAATGTGCATTAGGCAAATACGCATTAAGTTTAGGTGCGTGTAAAAGCATGCATAGACACACCCATTAAGAAGGGAATTGTGGACACAATGGAGAATATCACGATGCCCCTTTATAAATCCATGGTGTGTCCACACCTTGAACATTGCACCCAGTTCTGATCCCTGCACTTCCAAGAGGATATGGAAGAGCTAGAGATCTTCCCTTAAAGGGATCAGATATGTTCTCCGAGGCAAGGGGCATCAGTAGCTCTTGAGCATGAGAGTGAGGGGCACGGCCTCTGAATCAGCCCTTCCTAGACCTTAAATGCTGGAGGCTGCAAGTGAGAGAGGAGCAGTGGAGAAAACCCTGGTCAGACCCAGTTCGCTCTCCCTTTCAGCATCTGCTCTGTGTCACTGCGTGACTGGGTAAGAGGACCCAGTAAATGGCAGATTTTACGGTCTATTGAAAAGTGGCGTGTGTCTTCAACCACTGAACAATTTGGCTAAAAGGAAAAATCCCTTTTTCTGCTTCCTTAAAATAAGGTGTGTGTTTTACTTGAAGGCATTCTTCTTATTTAAATACAGCAATTGCTTCCTTTTGTATGATGGTAACATTTAGAAACTGGGCAGCTCCGCAGCACAAGGACCTCATACAGATACATAGCAGAAAGATGCTGTTTGCCTTTTATCTATCATGCTGTCAGTGTCATAGGACCTGCAGATTACAAGCAAGCTGGTCGCACCTATGGCAAGCACACTTCTTCCACAGGTCCCGTAGAGGGAGACCACACTCAGGTTCATAAGGATATCAGTGGCAGGACAGGAGACTTAACTTGGGGCTCTGTTTTACCCCGGGATCATTCTTCCTCTTTTTGCCTCCACCACTTACCCCTTGTGAGCCACAGTAATGGCAGGATGCACTATTCAGGCTAAATATACATCTTGATGTGGGTGGGAGGCTGTTTTGCATGATTTGCATGGTTTTGCATGATTTTCTTTCACTCCTTTCCACCAAATAGACACCTTATTACTGCTGCTAATAATGCTCATATTCTTATTATCATACTCTTAATGGTGGCTGCTAATGAGCTTCAGTACTGCCTAGATTAAGAATGTATCTCGTTTTTTTACGAAGAAGGGGAAAAAGGTCAGTATCCTGTCTCATAAATCCTGAATATGCCTTATCAGCACTTAAAGGGGAACGCGTAAGAAGGAAATTACAAGCACTTTCCATTTCACCTTTCACAAAAGCACTTTTATCACATTGTGGCCTTGACAGAAATTGAAGTCGCAAAGGAGCAAGTGACAGGCAACTTGAGACACTCAAATGCCATAAATAACTAGGTTGGGTTAGGATCACCTGGGGGAACGGGACAGAAGAGCTGCTGCCATGGAGCTGTTATTGAATGTATAGCTCGATGCACAGGGGTCTCGATTTTGTGTGCTCCTTTGGGGGAGCTGTAAAAAACATCCCTGCCCACTTCCAGAATTGGGTTGATGCCATGGTGAGATAGAGCAGGCTTAGGGCTGCTCTGATTTACACGGGCTGTATTGCCAAGCACTGCAGCCACTCCCATCCTTCCTTGTGGCTCTGGAGGAGACAGTGGGATTGGGCTGTATAAATCACGTCTGTCTTGCTCCTGCACGGGGGAATTCCCTGTCGTTTCTTCGCAGGCTCCGTACATGATCAACGCAGCACAGAGGGGCTAGGGAGGCTTGGAGGGCAGCCAGTCTTTCCGAAGACCCTGACAGTAGTTCCCATTTTTAAACAAGGAGCTGAGACTGATCCTGGGGGATTACAGACCCTGTGATAGAGATTGAAATAAGCACAGCCGAAGGCAGAACAAAATGACACCTCTTGCTGGGTTATACCAGTTAATGCTCTTTCCTCTTCAACCTTTTGCAGACTTCCTGGACTCCGGGGTGGATGCTGGAAGATGAGAGCGGGCCTCCGAATCCTGAGGCTACTCAGGACATGCAGACCTATGACTTTTGCCAAGCCCTTTTCCCAGCAGGAACAGCCCAGGCAGACTAGCTCAAACATCTTCTGGCTCATCTGGAATAGGACTGGATGGTCCCCCATTAGGCCGTGTACTTATGTTCCTGTACTCCTATGCTTAAACCCACTGGTTGTGGTTAACACAATGGAGCAATGTGGGCAGCATCTGCTTTCAACTTTGCAGCCCAGGTGCCGAGCATCCTTTTATAGATGGGAAGCCTGAGGGCAGTTCTCAGCAGGAGCGAGCCATCCTGGTGCACTGTAATAGTTTGGACACCGCATGCCTGGGCAAGAAACTAGGGGAGTGTCGAGAAGCTCCAACTAACCTCAACGTCTGACTGTGCTCCATGCTGTATAAACACACGGTAGGAGATTCTGCTTTGGAGACGTCACGGGGAAAAAAAATACCTGTACTTGAATGATCATTTTTCAAAATGCTCAGGAAATTGTAAAGAAATAAAACTATTTCATTTCAGGTCCAGCCAAGACTCGTACTTTAATTGGGAGCATTTTAAAGGCATCTTTGTCGAGTGAAAGGGGACATTATGGAATCCAACAGCTTTTTGCACTCTGCCAAACTCTTTTCTTGAAAAAGGCAGTGAAATGGAGGGGGATTTGCTAAATAATTTGGCATCACAGAATCTGCGCTCTTCTCCGAGTGTCAGCTAAAATTCTGCTCCTCGGTCCCGGCGTCCAGGTATCCAGTCCACTTGATCACCTTGTCTTCCCGACGGAGATAAGGAGCACAGTGAGCTGGAATAAACCCTTTGACTGATTCTCTTTATCATGGCATAGGCTAATGCACTTCTCGGTCTTCATTAAAATCTCATCAGTGCCAGCTCAGTGGCTTGCATAAGCTTAAATGATTCACCTTTATGGAGGGTGAGAAAACCTAGCGCTGCTGGATGGAGTCTTCTCCCTGAGTTTGGGGTCTTCTGTTTTGAGAGAAGCATTTACAGCATCAAGTGGCGACGAAGCAGGCGCTGTCACCAGCTTGGAAACATGCCAGCTATGTTGTTGTTCTGCCTTTGTATTTAGTCTCTTAGGAAGGACTTCTTCCAAATGAGAAGCTTTGGGACCTGGTGGATTAGGGGCTCTGGAAACAGCAGTGTTCTTCTTTAGGTCTGTTGCCTGTTTGTTAGCTGATGAATAGAAGGTGCAGACCAAGCTAGCACAGTTCAACGGGTTTATCGATCAGGACTGCAAAAGATGATTACCGATCAGCAAAATAAGGGCTGCGCTATTTATCAGTTCTTTTTTTGCAGTGCTGCTGTAATTCAGAGAGAGTCGGTGCAACATATGACTTCAGGAAGTCCTTGTAGCTGACCTATTTACAGCTTGTAGTCCTACAGCAGCAGCTTGTTGATATGAAATGATCTGAAAAGAAGTACACCAGAAACACCACCCGGCCAGGCACAGCCAGCCACCACAACCAGGACCTCAGGCTTGCTGGGAACTTTCAGCATTTTTAAAAGAGGAAGCAAAAAATGCAAATGAGACAATTTATCTAACTGAATGCAGAGGAACAACCCTTACTAAATCATTCTTAAAAGGATTGACTTAAGGTCACATAATCTTTAGCCTGAACCTTGACACAATGACCAGAAAATTATGCAAGTTTGGGTAACTATTAAAATAGCTTTACCTGAATGAACAGGCAAACTAAAATAGATATATCTACATTGTAAAAGGTGCCAACGGTCGGACTTCCTTTGTGACACTGGAAGCAGCTTCCTTCAAGGGAACATTGCCATGTGCCAGCTAATTGCAGTAATGAATTCATCATAAGGCCTAAAAAGATATTCTTGTGCACTCATCAGTACTCTAGCTCCTATGTAACACTTCTCATCAGTGGATCTTCAAGTACTACACCAAGAGAGTATCGTTATCTGTATTTTGCAGGTGGGGAAACCGAGGCACTGAGCTGGGCAGCGACTCACCTAAGATCACCCAGGTGGCCAGCAATGGAGGTGAGACAGAATATAACTGAGGTCTCCTGATTCCCACGGCAGTGTCAGATCCACTAAGCAATACTGCCAGGTGGAAAATGGAGATTTTGGGGCAGGCGGGTTTAGCCACTTGAATGCATCAAAGTCCCCTAGTCGGTTCTGGAGATCCCACGCTCACCGTCATTTCACCACATGCCCACTTCTGTTAGGCCCACAAACCCTACAAGGAAGGAATGGCTCTTTTCCAGAACTCCTGCTTAACACATGCGCTGTCTAGATATGGCTGACCAGAGCATCCATCAGTGCTGCAGGGAAAAGGAAGTTTACAAACCATAATCTAAACTCCACATATAACTCCTATCAACTTTGACACAATACAGACCTAATGCCCAACCTGCCAGAGGTGAAGCAGGGGAACCACAGCAGCCACTGTCCTGCTACTCTGAAATGTTGTCAATGTATGCTCAAGAGGTCCTGGGGATAGGGCCTGCTACAGAGTAAGGCAACCGCCCCAGTTGCTATCAAGCTGACTATGGAGTAAAATTCCTTCCTGACCTCAGATATTGTGATCATCTGACACTGAGTGGAGGGAAAAGACCCTCTGGCCATTGGTTCCAGCAGAAGCATTGGCACAGCTCAGTTAAAATCCCCAGCCTTGGCTGTAGCCAACGTCCAATGACCCTGAGCATGGCTTAAAAATACCCTGACACATGGAGCCATGCAACTCTTCTGCCTGGAAAAGTGCAGGCTCAGGGGTGATCTGGTGGCTACCTATAAGTACATCAGGGGTGTGTAGCAGGTTCTGGGGGAATGTCTGTTCACCAAGGGATGACAAGGACCAATGGACACAAACTCCTCCAAGACCGTTTTAGGCTGGACATAAGGAAAAGCTTCTTTACTGTCCGAGCCCCCAAGGCCTGGAACAGACTCCCTCCAGAGGTGGTGCAGGCACCTACTCTGGACTCCTTTAAGAAGCGTTTGGACACTTACCTTGCTGGGATCCTTGACCCTAGCTGACTTCCTGCCCCTTGGTGCAGGGGGCTGGATTCGATGATCTCCCGAGGTCCCTTCCAGCCCTGATGTCTATGCAATCTATGAAGTCTATGAAGCAGAAAGGGGGTACAGGGCAGGGGGTGGGGAGGCAATTAGCAAATCCCAGGAGCATGGGAAATACCCATGGGCAAACATAGACATAGCAATGCCTAGATCATCCCTGACCAGTGACGGTCTAACCCCTTCCTGAACACCTCCAGCAATGGAGAGTCCACATCTTCCCAAGATGTCTATTCCCCTCTCTTACTGCTCTAACAGTGTGGAAGTGTTTTCCAAACATCCAATCTCAACTTACTTTGCTGCAACTTCAAGCCATGGGTCCTGCAAAAGGGCAAAGGTGTTTTCCTTCTTCTTTATAGCAGCCCTTCAAGTATTTGAAGACTGCCATCATGCCCCCTCTTAAGCACCTTTTCTGTAAGCTGAATGTGCCTACCCCCTTCATCCTCTCTTTGTACGACTTGCTTTCCAAGCCCTTTATCATCTTTGTTGCCTGTCTCTGGACCCTCTCTAATTTTTCCAGAACCTTTGTAAAAGGAAGGCCCAGAGCTTCACATAGTGCTTTAGGTGAGGCCCAGCCAGCGCTGAGTCGACAGGCACCTCCCCATGTCTTGCACCTAATGCTTCTGTGGATGCATCCCCAAACTTCATTCACCTTTTGTGCGGTGCATCACACTGCACTCCTACTGAGTCTGTGATCTACCAAGACTCCCAAGTCCTTTTCCATCGTGCTGCCATCCAGCCTGGTGTCTCCCATTTTATATTTGTGTTTTTGATTATTCCTCCTGGGGTGCAGCACCTTGCATTTGTCTGCATTGAACTTCATCCTATTAGCTCTAGCCCAGCTTTCCAATCTGTTGAGATGCTTTTGAACTGAGCTCACATCCTCCAACGTGTTCACAATCCTTCCCAGTTTCCTGTCATCAGCAAACTTGCTCAAGAAGTTTTCTATGCTAGCATCCAAATCATTAATAAACACTTTGAGCAGCACTGAGCCCAGGACAGACCCCTGTGGGACTCCAGTGAAAACCTCCTGCCTTTCAGACACGGGCTCATTAATAATTATCCTTTGCTTTTGGCTATTGAGCTAGTTATCTATCCACTGAATAGTAGTTTTATTCAGCCCACATTTCTCCAATTTGTTTATGAAAAGGTTGTACGGGACATTGTCAAAAGATGCACCGTATCCATAGCATTCCCTTCATCCACCCAAGCAGTTACTTTGTCGGAGGAGATCAAGTTTGTTTGACATGATTTGTTTTCCATAAATCCATGCTGGCTGCTTGCAATCAGCCTTTCATCCTCCAGATGCTTGCCAATGGCCTTCCTTAGGATATGTTTCAGTGACTTTCCATGTTTGACATGAGGCTAAGTGGTTGGTAGTCTTTGCCTTTTTTAAAGAGGGGCACTATATTGGCCCTTTTCCAGTCCTCTGGTACCTGGCTCGTCTCCCACAACTTCATGAAGATCATTGCCAAGGGCTCCGAGATGTCCTCTGCCAGTTCCTTCAGGACCCTGGGGTGAACTTCATCCAGTCCTGCTGATGAATTCATTCAGACCCAACAAAATCTCCATCTTTGGAGGTTTTTAAAACCTGGCCAGACAAAGCTTTGGCTGGGATGATCTAGTTGGGGATGATCTGCCTTGAGCAGGGGTTGGACTAGATGTGACCTCCTGAGGTCCCTTCCCACACTCATTTTTTTACAAGTCTATGAAAAGCTCCCTGAAGGCACATGTACACGTGCACCTAAACTTAATGCACCTTTGTGTAAGGCACATTAAGGTGATTTAGGCACATGTCTACACACAGACGTGCTAATGTGCTAATGTGCATTAAGGTGCATAGCTAAATTGTGTTAGTGCACATGTAGCCATGCTAATGAGCATTAATGCAGCGTGAGTCCATTGACACGCACCACATAAATAAATGTGCATTAAGTGTCTACACGTGGGCTAATGCAATTTAGCTATGCCAGCTTAAATTCAGTACTTGCTTTAAGCAGGTATCCAGTTTAGGTGGGATTAGCCTAAAATTGC